CCGCGCGATGACGCGGCTCGCCTCACTTTTACACGACCTCTGCACCCGCGCAGCTCATCAGAAGACAATACACGTCAGCGTGCTGTATCCCCGCGAGATATATCCCCTCAAAGCACACATTTGCACACCTGTTCCGTGCGATTACCGTGATTATTTCCCGTTACGTATAAGCAACGTATCTCGCGACCTTTTCTCTCTTCGTGATCATTACCGAGCAATTAACATTTTATTACGATCTCCGTGATGTCCCGTAATGAGCACGGGGAAAAATACGCGCGATATTCGAGCGGCATTGAGGACGAACGAGCGAACGAATGAGCGAGTCGACGAGCAAACGGGAAAACGGAACCGCGCCTATACGTCGATTAGCGTTCCGAAAAGCATTCGTGCCACTACGTGGGACGAGTTTCAAGGTGGCGTGGGGACGATTCATGTGCAGGCATTGAGATTCCCGCCGATTTTTATCGAGCACACACGACTGCTCGTCCGAGCGGAGCTCATAAACCGCGATATCGGCGAATGGTCAAACGCGCGCCGAATAAAGAGCGCTCGACGCGCTTTTCCGATCGATAGTAGAGAAATCGCTTGGCAGATTGGTCCAATCGCGAGCGGAGAGATAACATCGATGGCAGAAGAATAGGCGGATGTTTCGCGCAATAGCACTGAATGGCAGCGGGACAAACTAGGCTAACGTCAGACATAAATTCTATCGCGAGATAACGCGACCACCGATAGAGCACGGCGTATGCAACACTTAAATTCATTCGTGACCGGAGCGCGCAGCGTGTCACCATTCGCTCTGCAAATAACACACTGAACCGATAATTCATCATTTATATTCTATGAGCGAGCGCCGAGTCCGATCGGCGACGGCGCCGCGCATTTCGTGAAATCAAATTTTCCAGTCGTATTTTCGCTCGTTCCCATTCTCCGTCCCGTTTTAAAGTGCCCACCTCCCCTCCCTTTCCGCTGTCCCAGGTCAATGTTTCGCGATCTCACGATCGATTTGTCCTAAAATGTCGCTAAACTTGGGCACGTCCAATCTTTACACGGAGAAATGGCAACTCCGTTAGTTGTAACTGAATTTTCTGTTATTTTGAGATAAGCCGGAAACTCGGTTGCAAAAACAGAAAGATTCCTGCAGAACGTTGCCACTCAGCCTCTCAGTTACCTCAACCGAGTTTCAATGCAGCCGCATGTTCGAACGAATATTTTTGGTCACAGTGACAGAGATATTACTTCTCATCGACGAGTTTTTCGTCCATCAATTACCCGAACTGAGATTTTTTTCGCGAGTTCCTACGTGATCGAGGAAACCGTACGCTCCATCGAATCTGCGAACACGCGCGTATTTCACATATTGCTGAGGAGCGCGACGTACTCCGACGTATTTTTATACACGAGTGCGCTTGTGTGTAACGCGCGGCTCTTTTACTATACACGCGGAGGCCGACGGCCGTCGGAGCGCATCGTCAAGTTCTTTTTATCCGTAACGCTCCATATCGGAACGATTATCGGCTCCGTACGTTTAAACGATCGATCACTTTGAGAGCCACGTGAAGCGTCGTCATTCAAAGTCCGACGGCGACGGTCCGACCACGCGCGCCGTCCTTTTGAAACTTATTGTAGCGTGTGCTCGTGACGAATACACTGCCCCGACAACACTCGTCGCTCGCGCCTCTCCTGGTTTTTACCGTTTCGTGAATATCCGTGCGATTCGAACGCGCGATCAAGCGAAGAGGATCCGGAGCGGGCTCGCGCGCGCGATCATTTTACGAGCTGCTGGACGACGATACGTTTCGACGACGCATCAATTCATTAATTCAACGCGGATCCATGGACTTTGATTCCGCGAGCTGCCGCATAGCCAACGGTACTTTTGCTGTTTAAACGTAAGGCAGTAAACAAGTGTAGATTATTTGCAGTTTGTTATAAATGAAAGCAAATAAGGCGCGAGTCAGCGCACCTGTCACGGTATTGTACGGGCGTTCGAACGTTGACGCTGAAAACGAAAGAAATTCGCGCGACGCCACGAGAGAGGGGACGTTCGTTGAATCATGGCGAGCAAAATCCTACGCGCGAAGCAACGGAGCTGCGACTAACAGTACTGATGCAGAAACGGCAAATGTCGTACCAAGAAGCTGTGCGACATAGCAGCGTTGGCTGGATTGATCGCGAAATAATAATGCGGCAGCTCAAGAATATATATACCCCGGTGCGTTTCTGCCCCGTCTCAGGATGTTTCCTCGGTTATTGCCCTTCCTAGATCGCGTGTCTACCGCCGTTTCTTATTTACACTCCATTACCACGTTCATTTTCGTCGTCCTCGTGTGTAACGAGCGATGCCAACACACCGCTATACGTAGATAAAGTTGGACTTGCTAATTAACGTACGATAATGAACATCTCTGCTTTCAGCTACTTCATAAATCCGCGACTAATTCGTAGTCCGCCGTTTGGCCGCGGGCGAGATTCGCTCGTGCGCCGAGTTCTTTCCGCGCGGACTTGTTTTCAACGTTGATTAACTCGGCAACCATCAAATTCCCAGTTGGAATTTCGTTGAAATGCCACTTTCGAGATAAAAAGAGGATTTATTTGCGAAAATGCACTATTTAAGAAATAAAAAGGGATATGTTCTCTCTCTCTTTTTTTTTCTCTCTCTCTCTCTCCCTCCCTCCCCCTTAGCCTTTGAAGGGCTGTAAAGTGCTTATGCTAATGTGAACCTTTCAACGAGGGTTGCGCTCCCGATATACTCTTTTTCCATGGCCTTCCTCTCGCGCAAGCTCATGCAACAGTATTATTACGCGCGTTACAGTATTCATTTCTACGTGACGGGAGTAAATCGATACTCTCCACCGGAACCTGTAATACAATGAGGCACCGAGACACGGCACATAGCCGGGAAATGAGATAAACGGCAAGGTGAAGCCGTGAGAAAAGCGCTTCCTCTCGGCTTTTCAGTTTCGCATTGCGGTAGCGGCTACGCGGTGACGCGCAAGTAGCGAGTTGCTCCCAAGTCGCCAAGTCTCGCGAATTAGTATGCAGCGTCGCAGTCGGTTGCGAGAATCGTGATATTATTGCCACGGTCAATATGCGGAGTTAACTGTTCATTGGGAACTTTGCGTTTCCGCTGAAAGGAGATTTAATATATCACGCCTGTTGATCGTTACGCGATAGGCGAACGATCGGACGCACGTCGACCGTGACGGATTCGCGTCCGCTCTTTTTTACAAGGAGCAAGATTGCCTTGCAGACGAGATCGCGGCGCGCCGCCGGGAAAATAGCAACAATTGACCGCGCAACAGCGGTTGCACGTGTTCGGTTGAGGCGCCGCGTCATGCAGAATTTCAAATCGCCATCGTCGTCGTCGTCGTCATCGTCGTCGTTGTCGTCATAGTGGCCCTGCCGCCGCTGTCGTCTCTATAGGATTGAGGTGAGAGGAGAGAATTCGATACATCGCAGGAATTTCCCGTTTATTCACGCGCGTCTTCATCATCGTCGGAAGAGAAGAAGACCGCGGCAGTACAACGCGACGGATAACACACAGAGTCCCCGCTCCCCCCATGTATGCCCCATAGATTCCTCCAGTTTACATTTTTCATCTCAACGGCGCCAGCGTCGTTCATTATCCCGATTTCTCGGAATTTCTGTGATTCATTATGTAAAAACGCGAGAGTAGCGCTGCCTAAGATAAAAATTCTGCCTAGATAGCCGTCTTGAGAGAAAAAAGAAAAAAATAATCGATATATCTATGATTATTAATTTCGCGTGAAGAAGTGCGGCGAGATCAAAATTAATCAGTCTAGGAGGAAAGCTTTCAAGAAGGGACCTTACGTCGCACAATCTCGGTGGATTTCGCAAGAAGTGACTTTACATCGCGCGACTTACATTTCGTTATTTGATACGTTAATGCCTCAACGTGCTATTTCGTCGCTCGTCATCGTCGCGAGAACGGCTATAACGCGTCGTGATTATTGGTTCCGATCCTCCGGATATGTATCGCGGATGTTGGAGATTCTGTATATCCTCCGGATTGAAACGGAGGTCTCCTTGGTATTCACGCATCGGTGTTCGACTCGGTATTCAGACACTGTCTCTTAATTGTACGAGGTGTTCGTGCACGTCCGACTATCCTTCGCGGCTGCAAGTCGGCACGCATACCTATTGCACCTCGCCTTGAATTATTTAGGCACACCAACCGGCCCTCTTTGACTCGATTCGCGGGACACGGTTCATCTTTGCGCGTGAGACAAGACGTGATCATTCTAAATTTTTTCTCTTGCGCGCTCGTGCAGGGATCGAGATTCGTATTATCAGGCGATCGAGATTAGATTAACGAATATTACCTCGGCAAACGAAATATTTAGTGGAAGATTTATCGCAATTTCTCGATTTTTGCAACAAAGAATATATGAAAATTATTTCTTTTTAATGGAGACATATACTTTAGTTTATTAAACATCTAGATTGTTAAACATCTAGATTGTTAAACTATCTAGATTGTTAAACATCTGCTAAGTCGAAGATGTTTGTACTACTGTTCTAAAATTATTGAAAACGTATCCACCAAGTCAAATGAATCGCGCGTAATTAAGGGAATCTTATCAGCAGCAATACAGAGCTCTCTCTGTGCAGAGACGTTACATCACTATTACTCTTTTCAAGACGACGGACGAAATATTAGAAGCTCGAGAGAATCCCTAAATCTCCCCTCTCACATATCTCTGAGTCACTTTGGGATAGAGACATTCTCTTGGCGGAGCACATTATCACAGTTCATAAAATCCATGACGGCGACGGCGACGGGAGCGGCAACGACGACTAAGTTGTCGCGATGCGGCACAGCCGCGTGCAACCGAATCACTGATCTTGATCACTTGGTGTCACCGAAGGAGACGCGACTGACGGCGCGTTGCGCGCACCTGCTACGTCACTTGTCCACCCTTAACGGCCGACCGAGGGTGGACCGGCACACTAAGTACTCCTCACGATCCACTTACCTATCCAGCACGGTCGTCGACGGCGGACGACCCTGATGGCTCGACGCGACGACGTGGTCCCCTCTCGATGCACGATCAGCGATTTATTAATTCGCACCGTGTCAGACGCGATCGGCCTGCGTGCCTGCTCGCGTGCCGTTCCGAAGCCGCGACGGGATGGTTGATCGTCCTTCTGGAGGGACACCTGCAGCCTCGTCGTCGAGGTGCGCTCTCACCCGAGCTCAGAGCAGAGCTCTTCTCTCGCACCCTCCGACGAGCGTGTGCGAGCGCAGAGCTTACTCTCTCTCTATCTCTATCTCTTTTCTCTCCTTCTCTCTCTCTCTCTCTCTTTCTCTCTGTCTCTCTAGCTCTCTTTCTCTCTCTCGTTCTCTTTAGCTGGCCCCTCAAAATCACCGCAACACCACACCGAACAGAAGTGAACTACTCGTGCGCCGCCGGTTCACGGTACCTTAAATACCTTGGCAGCCGCGCCGCCGCCGCCGCCGCCACCGCCACCGCCACCACCGCCGCCGCCGCCGCCGCCACCGCCACCACCGCCGCCGTCGCCGCAGCGCACCACCGCCACCACCGCCGTGCGCGTCGTGCGACTCCCTACCTTAAACTCGCCCCACGCCGCGCGAGCGGATTGGCGGGGGAGCGCGAGGCGATGTGTACCCGCAGGCTACACCGGAGCATCCTCTCTTTTTCTTCCATTCTCGCTCCCTCTCGCCCGCCTCTCGCGCGCGCGCTTCCTCTCCTACTCTATTTCGTTTCCTCTCTCTCTCTTTCACTCTCTCGTCACTTCTTTCTCGCTTCGTCTCTTCCGCCCCTCTCTGCAGCCCCGTGTGGACGCTTCTCATCTTTCTCTTTTTCGTCCCCTCTCCTCCCCTTTTTCTCAGCGTTCGACCACCAACGGCATGTCCGCAGGACTAACGCGTGTACACCATCGTGGGCATCGGCGCGAGATGGGAGGATATCCCTTTTGTCCGACGTTTACCGTCCGTCCGTCTCGCAGTTCGACTCGTGGATGGATGCTCGCGGATTGTCCTGAACGTCTATGTCATCGGCGCACAGACACCGTGGTCCATCCGACCGTGATAACCGGCCGACGAGCACGACGACGAACAGGACGAGGAGGAACACGTCGGTCGCCGCACCGCAGGAGCAACGGTGCGCAAGCGCGTGCGCGAATAAACGCAGGAGCTACGACGCGCCGCGCGCTCGCCGTCGCGCATTCGCGCTTCGCGCGTCGTAGCGAACGTGTCTTCTGTCCGACACTTGGCCAGGTGACACTTGACGCCCGTCGGAGGGTTAAACTTTATATTGGATATACTAACAATGCAACAAAGGAAAAATTTTTTAGGGGAATCGAGGCGTGGTCGAGAAGCGTCTGAAAAGGAGACGATGAGGAGACGAATCTTGCAATTCCTTTGCGATCGTTTGCTTTAATCCCGATAAATTCTCGTGCTCTGAGCGGGTCCGACTATTACCGTAAAGCGCGCGGAAATTACGATCTATTCGAGGAATTCGACGCGAGCGTGGTCAATGCCATTGGGGATTCAAACCGCTGACTCACTATCGATCTTTTACATCGATGAGCACACGCGACGGTGGACCAAAAAGCCCGGCTGCCCCGATCGTTCCGAGAAGATCTTGTAGCGAAAATAAGGCTTGCCGTATCTATACCCCCATTCATTCGCGTCAAGGGACAAGGTGCTCCTTTTTTATCGATCGTCATAAAGGATACCTCGTATGTCGCAGAGAAGTAACGTTATTTCCCCGTCGGTCCGTTCCCCCAACTCTTTCCGCGTGGTCATTAATCGACCGCGCGAAGGCCGGCAGATTCTACAGAATCGAAGCCACGTTCCGCGAAAGGTTCGTTTTAAAGATGATCTCATCAAGATCGATTAGAGGGGACGCATACACTAAAAATATTTCACACACACGCAAACTGTGGACCAATGGTCCATTTGTTAAGTGGATTAAGACTGACGTATTACCATGTCGCGAGTTATTTTAACAGCTCTACCACATCCTCTTTAAAAAAAAAAATAAAGAAAAATAATCCTCAGAAGACTATTCACAACTTGGACCATGTCGCACTATCACGCTAAGGTTTTCTCCTCTGTTCAAAATTCGTTCGATTGTCCGTGTCCTCCGCTCCCGCGAGGTAAGAAGACCTCGTGTTCTCCCTCAAAAAAACTCACAAAAATCGTCCCGACGACCGGATCGTTAATTGTCCGCGTTTGCCGATAAACCTTCGCGACGTCCAGGAAGTTAACCGACACCGCGCATCCTCCCCTCCTCCACCCTTTGGTACCTCCTGCCCGTCGGCTGGATGCCGACGTACATTCGTACTATGCATCGTCCATATTTACGACGGAGAGAAGTTCATCGAGTAGAAGAGAGCAGCCGTAAAGCACCGGCCGGGCCCTTGCGAGATGCCCGAGGGATATCTGAGACGATGTATCCACCTCGGCTCACCTTGGTTCACCTTGCCTCATCGGGCCTCGGGGTAGGGGAATTCGGTTCAGCGAACCGCGCACACGACGACGACGACGACACGACGTAACTGGTACCCGCTAACTGTCGGTCTTTCTCTCACGGATCGGTGCCATTGACACTGACATAATAACTCGTCGGAACCGTGTTCGACGGCAGGAGTCACGACGTACGAATGAAATTGCCGCGATGGTGTAATGCTTCTTGCATAAGTGCCGAGAAAGCGAGGATCGAGTGGTGTGTATGTGTGTGTGCCACGGAAGGGAGAGAGAAAGAGAGAGTAGGTGAGAGTGAGAAAGAGAAGACGAGCGCAGAGCAGGGTGACGAGAGGGGAGAAAGTGAAATGAGAAAGAGAGAAAGACACTGTCGAGCAGACAGTGAACTTGACCTGAATCCCGGTCAGGGAGAAAGAATGATCGTGGGCTCCCGTAGAAAGGAGAAAGGAGGCGGAGAAAGAGCGAGACCGAGGAAATTACTTTCGATTTCGAGCTCTCGGGATCGGTTACACTTTCTCTCTCGTCCACCGCGCGGCGAGATCGTTTCTTCCGCGGCCTTCTCGACATACGTCTTTGCGACATGTCAGACGGTCATCGCGCTGCTCCCGTGCCAAGGTCGACCTCCGTGGTAAAGACCTTGGCGGAGAATCGCCAGATCGAACGAGTGAGAATGCTCGAAACCGCGACATCGTTATCGACGTCTTCGTCGGGTTTTCCCGCGGCTGTACCGCGTGTTGCGGCAGTTCGCAAAATTTCGATAACGCAACGTCGACTGTCACTCGCAGAAAACGCTGGCCGATAGTTCAGAACCGTTCGAATGCAGGTATTGCGGTTGTCGCGCGTTTCATGTGAAGTTACCGCCGGTGAAGCTCGCTATTGCCGAGCTCGATCGAGTCCTTTGCACCTAAATAGCGGAACGAATATGTCGCGGCCGTTGTGCGACTTCACAATCCGGCACAAACGTTGGGATTACGAGCCATTGGCTCGCGCGGCAATAACCTAATTAGATCGAAAAGTACGCCGCCCTTCCTCTCCCATCGTTGCATCGCAGTGTACCTACAATGCATCGTGTTCCAATGCAACGCGTAGGCCGCACTTGCCATCAGGTTGAGAACTCGGGCTCGACGTACTGTGTAACGGTATACACGCGATCAAAGCATCTGACGTTTACGTACAGACGTATCTTGAAAAGTTTCTGCCGTAACCTTAAATCATTCCCAGATACAAATTGCCTCGCGATATTAAATTGTAGGTCCCATTCTACGATACTCGTGTGTCTTGTAGCTCGATAAGCTCTCTATATCAAGCTTCCTCCGGCGATTCCTCCTTACCCCATTGGATTAACTTCTAACTCCTTGCTTATTCCAATTCTAATCATTTTCCAAGCAAAGACATTGATTGTAGTAAAACACATCAGACGCGATATTATAATCGCAAGGATAACCAAAAGAATTATTCCCGTGGATCGAGCGTGAACATTGCATATCTTATTCTGTCGCTCTGCACACCGCGAGAAAAATAGCTACTCCATGAGAGAGATAGAGAGAGAGACGCGTCTCGAGTATCGGAGCGCGACCGCGCGCGAGTCGACGAACGGCCTTGCAACATTTGCCGTGCGGCGAACTTTGCCGGACGTTATACGTATCGACTTTGCGATTCTCTCCGGTGAGAGATGCTGGCACAGGAGAGATGCCGTTCCTGAGATGGGACGTCCGCGGGATTATAGAGAACGACTCTCTCGCCAACGGATAGGTCAGATATTACGACCGCCAAGTCTCAACGCGAGTCTAGAGCACTCGACCGCACTCACGCGCAAGTTCTCTCTCTCTCTCTCTCTCTCTCTCTCTCTCTCTCTCTCTCTCTCTC